TGCTCCAGGTCCCCCGACAGCTCTTTGCAGATGCTCTTCTCGATGTCCCGACCTGTCATCCTCTGATATTCATTGAAAACTGCCACCAGGTGGGCCCGGCTGCAGGAGCACAGAATGGCATTGAACTTGGACTCATCTGTTCCCAGGCGGTTCTCCCCGGCCGCGTACAGCTCCTGGATGTCTCTCTGGATGAGGGACATGTCCACATTTATGCTTTCATCTCAGTTTCCCTGAGAGAGAGAGATGAGGAGCCGCTGGAAGTGCCCTGATGTGTCGCTGCGAATGGCCTCCTCCAGGGTCTTTTTGTGTTCTGCTTTGTAGGCCTGGTTCAGCTCCCGGATGTGCTCGTTGCTGCGGGAAGCCAGGATCTCGATGAGGCAGGCTTCATCGCCCTTAATGGCCTCCTTTATCTCAGATACATCGAACAGGATTGGGGTCTTCATCAGGGCCAGGATGGCCTTCTCAAAGTTCCCCGACAGCTCGGATTTCAGGTCTTTGATCAAATCCTTGCCATAGGCTGTCTTGAAGGATAGGCTGATCTGCTGCCGCTGCTTGTTGGAGCGGCTCCCCAGGTAGTCGATGATGGCCTGTTCGTCCGTCCCAAAGCCCTTCATGGCCTTCCACAGGACCTCAGCATCTAGCAAGGGGTCAAAGCCAGAAGCGTCCGTGATGGTGCCTCAGTTTCCAAACTTGGCTGGGGGAACAGCGGGGGTGACGGTCCCAGACCCTGAGTATCCTGGATAGCTTGGCATTGGCTGCTGCCCTGGAGGTGGCACTGGTTGCTGTCCTGGGGGTGGCATGGGCGCTGCCCAGGGTAAGTCATTGGTGGCTGCCCAGGGGGTGGCACTGGTGCCCCTGAGTAGGGTGGATAGGAGGGCATCCCAGAGGGTAGGTTTCCCCCAGGGGTCGGGTACATTCCAAACGGAGGAATAGGCTGCTGGGAAGGAGGGGGCTGCCCGAAGCCACCAGGGGGGACTGGAGCGTAACCACCCCCAGGGGCTCTGGGATACAGGTTGGCTCCTCCAAATGTCCCCGACATGTTGGCCGCCATCTGTAGTTGGCCACGTTATCCAGCCCGACAGGGGGCCCACCGGCCGGGGAGTAGGCAGCACCCCCCAGGCACCACCACCTGGTGCAGGAGGGGGGTAGCCACCAGGGGGTGGGGAGTAGCCTGGGTAGCTCATGGTCTGACCTGGCATGGGACACCGAAGGGCGAGCGGGGACGCGGCAGCAGCGACCTCTCGGCGGGCGCCTCGGCTCTGCTGGACCTTGGCCTCGCTCCGCAGCACTCAAGACCCACAGGAGCCTTGGCTTGGAGTCGATATTTTGTTGATACCTGTTAGTCTGATGTTATTTTTCTTTGTATCATCTTGTAGCAGTTGCATTGTTATTTCCTAGTTTCTTGTTATTTTTAAGGGATGTTTCTTTTCATATTCACTAGCTGCAATACTATCTTCAAGGTCTGAAATGCTATCTTCTGTTTCATTCAAATGGTTTTGCCAACTTTCAGTGGAATTCTTAATATCCTGGATATCCGTTTGAATCTGTTTCATGCATTCTGGTTCTTTCCTGTATTGTTCATTTGATGTTTCCATCATTTTCCTGTTTC